GGGGAGGGGGAGAGGAGGTGTCAGTCGGCAGCGGTGAGCTGCGCATGCACCCAGAAGCCAAGCCACTCGTGTAGTGGCCGCTGCCGCCTGCGAAAATCCACGCGCCGAGTCGACTGCCCTACCCGGACTGGATTTTCTCAGCCAAGGCAAGGCAGGCGCTCGCCCCCGCCCTTTTCCGCCTCTCGCCTCGCCTGGCTTTCCTGGTGCCATTTAGCGGGCGGGTCGCTGCTCTGTGCTGCTGTGTGCTGCTTTGTGCCGCTGCTGCATACTGCTGTTGATTGCCATTGAGCCTGTCAGCTCGCCTTGCCTTGGCCGACGCCCGCCATGCCGCGATGAGGCTGCCCGGCTGAGCCACCCTGAATTCTGGGATAGGCTCCCGCCCGCCTCGTCCCTGCTCGCCTCCCCCAAAAGCTGCCCACCCCCTCATCTCTACCTCCCCTCGGCCCCCCTCCCCCTTTCCTCACTACCATCACCATCGTCCACCACCTGACATACAAGCTCTTGCTTCAGTCCACCACTTCCACCATCCAACACCACCACATTTCGACACCTTTGTCACCACCACCAACAACCACCCACAGCAACAATGTCTGCCGCTGCTAAGCCCGCCGCCAAGAAGGCCGCCTCCAAGAAGGCCGCCGGCACCTCGGTCTCCTACGAGGTAAGTAGCATCCGACATGCTCACATGCGATGTCGCAACCATCCATACGCGCGCGCGTGTCGACGTGTATGCGCGCAGAGGTGGAACGCCACCGAGCGTCGCGCTCGTCATCAGCATCCGTCTGCGATTTGGATGGATGGAACGCGCGCGCGCGTCTCGGCATGGACCCACCTCCCCGAAAATTATTTACTGCTCCGCCTCGCCCCCTGGGATGCTGGCAGCACTGATAAGCATTACGACGACAGTCTGCTGACCCGATCACCCCTTTTTTCCTTGCTCGCCATCGTCTGATTTGGCTCGTGTCCGTCTGTGTTGTCCGTCGCGTCGCGTCTGCAGTCGATGATCAAGGAGGCCATCCTTGCTCACCCCGCCGAGGCCCGCGCCGGTATCGGCCGCGCCACCATCAAGAAGTACATCCAGTCCCACCACCCCGAGACTGCCAAGGGCTCCGAAGCCACCTTCAACACGCGTGTCAACCAGGCCATCACCCGCGGCGCCGAGAAGAAGACCTTTGTCCTTCCCAAGGGCCCCTCGGGCAAGGTCAAGCTCGCCCCCAAGGCCAAGGCCGAGAAGAAGCCCGCCACCACCGCCGCCGCCAAGAAGCCCGCGGCCAAGAAGGCTGCCGTCGCCAAGAAGCCTGCTGCGGCTGCCAAGAAGCCCGCTGCCAAGAAGGTAAGTTGCTTCTCGTCGTCATCACCGTCCCCACTTGGCCACCCACTGAGGGAGGAGGAGGAGGAGAGGGGTCGAAAATAAATTGGATTTCGATCGGCCCCTCGCGCGTCGCTGCGCCAAGGCCTCTGCTGGGTCTGCCCTCCTGTCTCACCTCTTCGTCATCACCATGGCGGCTCTCGTCGTCGTCGTCGTCGTCGTCGT